TCTTGCTGATTGCGTCGTCCAAAGCCCGATTTATCTTCCTATCATCACTGTCACCACACCGGAAGACGACGAGCGCTACGTACTGTTCTCCCCCAAGTCCGAAGAGCCTGATCACCTTCATCTAGCCGTTCCGACTCTGGGAGGCCGCAATTGGCCCCATCCGGCTGGACCTTGGCTTCGTGCTCCCGAGGATATAAACCCTCTCGCCTCCAAAGATTGTTATCGCCTCTCGAATGACACACTTGTACGATGGCCAGCTGGTCGAAGCGCACCTCCTCGCCTCATGACCGATGCCGAACGTGAAGCAATTGCGTTGGTACAACAGATCAATCTCAATCTTGAAATGGCACAGAGTGCACTTTACTCGCGCCTTCAACCGCATTCCTTAGATCAATGGGTTGACGACGTTGATGATGAAGAGTACGATGATGAAGAGGAAGAATTTACGACGTGGAGCCAGCAAGATAATCAACTTGTATGTTGATTAACTATCCCAATTATTTCTGTGACATCGCCATTGCTGACATTCTATTTTCCATTTTAGTATCATCGTTTTCCGGTTGTTGTTAGTGATAATGAAGACTACGACATTGAGACGATCGAAATGATTGAATGACAGTGACACGAACCTGAATGCGTCTTGAAGAATTAAAAATTATTTATGTAAGCCCATCTCTCTTGTGTTAAAACCTCGACTTGAAGAAAAAAGATTTGAGAGATCTGACAGTGATCTATTTTTAACAGATTGGCGATCTATAGTACTTGTTTGTGTGTAAAAGAAAATCCTTCAAAATTGGAAATAATAGTTTGAGAAATATGCAATCCCCGCTCAAAAAAAAAATCTTCGATACCCTCTGACATTTCATGGTCTCAATTTGCTTCACCGTTTCCACTTTTTGCTTTGGGGTTTGTTGAACATTATGTCCCGCCTTTTTTTGTCCAAAATCCGTTCCTGAGGAATAGATTTCCAAATCCTCTTGTATTATCGATAGATTATGTCGCTTTGAACATGATCCTTTGAAACTAATTCTGCATTAAGCTCGCCCTTCTGTAAATTATCGCTTCCAGTACAGTAAGTTTCGCGTAAATCCATTCAGCGAGTTGAGTTGATGCAAACTTCTCTTGGTTTCATCCCAAGATATGGGCAAGGTGGTGTTCATTATCTCAAGGCAAAGGTAAGCATATAAGGTGGCATACAATTGAGGTTGAGAGGTGAAAAATATGCTAGTTAAGACCTGCTTTGAAGCTTGAACAAGTTCTGCAAAGATTTATTGCCGGAGGCCAATGCGTGGCATGATGATGCCAATGAGAAAAGTAGGCCCAGAGTCCTCAAAGCCACAAACTTTTGGGTGTCATAATATTTTTCCCCCCGCCATTTTTATTTTTAAGATTCTAGGTTTAGAACAAGTCAGAATCTACCTTTTGACTTTGAGTACCGCTAATCTTTTGAGCTGATCATGGCCAGACTTAAAGAATCATGAAACAAGTGTGTAAGATATGTTTTCTGGGAATGTACACCCAACAACCTCCTGACTCATGAGCACATCCAAGCCCTGTTCAATCTAAGAGACAAAGGTTCTAACTGCCCAGAGCAAGGCATGGTATATATATCCCAATAGGACCAAAAATCCACACCGTGCTATATAGCGTTCTTTCACAATTTTATCCGCTTTCTATGTTGTGCCCGCTACCCATGAATAAATGGCAGCAGTATTGTTTAACACCATGTACTTGTAGTCTATTTTTGAATCTAATTCATTCTCCTCATCCTGTGTTTCAAGAAGATCAATCATGTTGCCTGACTCAACCAAGTCTACTTGCTGTGAACGTTGTCCACTCCAGCAAGGGACTTACACGTCAAGTCAAAAAAATGGCCGGAGATTGGCCGGTGCTTTTTGCAAAAAAATGGGCTCCTTATAAAACTGTTTTTACGATTACAACTCATTGCCTTTCCAATGACAAAGGACACGTACCTGAATACCCTCTACAACATATCCCACTCAGTATTGATAGAGTGTAATTGGTTTCAAAGATACAAGAAAGTCCCTGAGGACTCAACATTGAATATCGTTTGGATTGCTCTGTGCCTGAAATATCAGTTTTGTTATATGGTTGAAAAATTCTTTACATTTATCTCCAAAACCAATTAATTTATTGGTGTTTTGAGCCATGGAGAGTTCAGAAGCGGTTCAGTGGCATGTTTTTTGTTATTGGATAGGCAACAATCCAGGATTGCAAAAAAAAATTTTGTAAGGAGGCCAGTTTTTGTCAAAAAGCCCTGGCCCATCTCAGGCCAATTTTTCAACCTCATGTGTAAGTCCCTTGCTTGAGCGGACCACATTCACAGCAAGAGGACTCAGTTAAGTTTGGAATGTGACCATTGTTTTGAACTGCATAAAACCTCTTCAATTAAGATCACATTTGGGTTTGTCTATTTTATATTGACTCAGACAAAGAAGAGTTTAGATTTTGTATAATTCCTGGTCTTGTCATATACTATCTCTCCTGAAAATATTGCTCTACAAGGCTTCCAGAGTCAGACCAGTATTTGTAAATGCAAAAAATTATCAAGCTGATCTTGAGTAAGCCAGGTCAGCTTTGACCTGGCTAAAGAACCTAATCCACGTCTTGCCCTGTTCCGTATCCAGATCTACATTTAGTTTGAGGAACTGGGGTGAATAGACCTACATCTTGTTTTTGTTTCAGCTAGGCTATCTGGTAATCAGCTCTTGATACCATTGACTCATTCCTTTCATCTCATTCTCAAAACTTTCTTTTGACTTACATTTCTTCATCTATCTCTTTCATATCTCTTTGTGCTTCATCTTATATCTCACATCCACTTGCTGCTGAGATCAGCAATTGAAAACATAAACATGAGTGCAAGTTCTGATATGGTTACACAAGTTATGTACACTCACAAACAATTTTGAACAGTACATACCCAACATTTGGTATTTTATTTCAATGCTGTCTTGGCCAGTATGCATCATTGATCAAAAATGGCATTGATGCCTCAATTGATCACATCATCTGGGTTCCAAAGATGAAAGTTGAAGAACAAGTGGCGGAACAGTCATAAAAATCTGCCAAGCCATCCAGCAAGATTGTATTCCAAGTTTTTGTTTGGAACTGTGAAGATCAAGGTTTCATTTGAAATTGCCAAAATCAAAACACATACAGCCACTCTGATGTGGTCATGATCTTAGTGACTGGTTGTCCACATCTGATACCAGAAAGATGGATTATGTGGTCAACAAAACCTGCAGCTTCAGCCCACTCCAAAGGTTTGACAGTATCTAGTCGAGATGTGTTGTAGACAAGATTAAAAGGAGGGAAGACAAGGGTGTGTGACAAATTGAAGGCGGCCAACAAAAACTTGTTGAAAGCCAGTTTAGTTGATCTTTTGGTTAAAAATCTGTTGATTATGTGTAGATTTTCTGAGTGGACTCCTTTCTTTTTGAGGGTGTCCATAAATATTGAGTGATCAACTTGAGGAAATACTGATTTGGCATCATCAAACATAGCACCAACTATGTTTCCGTTAGCCCACTCTCCTCAAATTTAGGCCACCAGATGTACAAACAAGTCTTTGCTTGACCTATTAGGACATCCTCTGTGAGAACCCCTCTTCAGGAGTTGTAGCTGTTCTACCTGTGGTGATATGTGGATGGTGATCAATTTTTCATATTGCGTACTAATGGTATGGAGTAGGGATATAGGCCTGAACAAGGAGGGGTTGGTACAATCCGCTTTGACAGGCTTAGGGATCATTATTGTTCTTGCTTCCTTTCATCAATCTGGGTAGATACCTGTGATGGTGTTACATTGAAAGAGAGCAAAAACATGACATCTTACCACAGGCCAGAGTGTTTTCCACACCCAGTGTTGTTTACAAGTGTTCATAGTGATGGGCTGGTATTGATTATTTCCTTGGGAGAGTCTTTGTTTCAGGAGTCTAACAAACTAGGCATGGTTGAGTTCACGGGTCTTGTGTCTTTGTTTAGTGAAAAGGAGAGTGGTCAAGTGTCCTGTAATTTGCATGGAGCTGTTGCCATGCAGGTGACTTTGAACAAAGCATCAGCCTTCTTGTCATTTGACATACAAGTATAACTTCTGTTGTGATCAGTGTGTCAATCACTGACAATGCTTGTCTTCCCAAAGCAAACTTCTTTACTTGGGAAAGAGTGTTGTGAGGTAGCCGGGAAAGTCATGTTTTCCAGCTATCCTCCTTTGCTTTGTTTACTGCCACCTTGAACATGTTTGGTGGCTTGTTGAAGGCTATCTGGTTTTCTGTGGTTCTGTTTTCTTCATTATTTGTTCCTTTTTGAGAGTGTCTTTGCATAGTGGGTCAAGAATCATGGGACTTCACCACTTTTTATGCTCACCTGGTGGTGATTTCCAGGGGCAGTTGTTGAGAAGTGCTTTTGCAATGGTGTAAATTAGGCCTTGGTCAGTCTGATCAAATGATGTTCCAAGAGTTGTGTGGGATCCACCCCCAATGCTTGATTCCACAAGGTGACCTGAGGCTCATGTCCCACTTGGACATGAGATCTACAAACTTATCTTCATCATTAACACAAGTTTCAATGTGACTAGGGTTTCATAGGGAAGAATGAAGGTTCCTGTTGGAGTTGAGAATAGTAGGGAGTAATTGAATTTCCCACAGGACACTCAAAATCAGAGTCTTGCACACTGTGAATCCTGATGATATCATGTTTTTTGTTCAACAGAGGTGAACAAATCTCTAGAACAAGGGATGAACCTTGGAATATGCAGCAACAAGGCTACTCTACTGCTTGAAATACCCTGCTTTGATTCAATTTGTCTGCCAAGGATCTACCCCCCACATATTTTCAATACTATTTGCAACTTCACACATCAAGTTTTTCCACTCAATACCCAATTAAACCCTTATAATGGTTCACAGGCAAAGCCTTATCTCAACACTAGATGAACAGGACAACATCATTGTATCTAGCACAGATTAAAAAGACTGCCGCCCAATGGGGGGCTCGAACCCCCGAAAATTTGATAAGATCCTGAGGAGAAAACTTGGTAAAAGTCAAATGCTCTACCGACTGAGCTAAACGGGCCATTCCAAAGGCTTTGAAGTAGCCATTTGGCCACGATTTTAGCCAATCAAATTTTCAAATACCACACAATAAAAAACCTGATCACAAACAGTCAACCTCAGTGTTTGGGGACTCAGCTGGTAGAAACCGGTTCTTTTATGTCACTCGGGGGACGGCCTAAGTTCTGGCCACAGAGAAGGTGGGTTTCTAGTTATTAATTTGATTTTGAAACTTGTTTGCTAATTTTCATTCCCCAGATTAAATACAATGCCAGTGGTTCAAAGGCGGTCAAAATTGCTGAACCACCAAAGGCATCTGGTAATAAGAGGCGGACCCAACCTGCTGAAGAATCAAAGTCTAACAAGATTAGTCCTAGCAGCAACTTGATGTTGATGATAAAGCAAGTTTTGGGCACTGATTCACACCCAAAACAAGAAGTGGAGTTTCTTTGAAGGCTCCAATGTTGAGGTATCTTTGGTTTTGCAGGATAGCAGATCCCAATGGATCTACTGAGGCATGTCTAACAGGTGCGCGTATAGCTCAGTATACCATATTAAAAAAAGAGTATCTTTCTTGTCAAGACTTGGTGGACCTTCAAAATATCAGACCAGGAATAGTTATGATTCAGTATGAAGACCTTGAATCTATACACTAATCCCACAAGTTGAAATCACCTTTGTCCAAGAACAATGATGAAGAACTTGGATGTAGGAAAGAAGGATTTCAACTTGCTGATTTTACAGGTATAAATAAAATACAGATTGGACAACATTAGGGTTCAATTGAGTACAAACAGTATTAAATTATACATTATATGTAACACAATCATGTAAAGCAAATGTAATGATATACCTTCAAGTGAAGTGTCAATTGTGTGAAATCTGAGTCTGAAACATTCACTTCAACACCCCAATCTGAGACCAGATGAGATTACTTGATTGTACATGGTTGTCAGTTTGAAAAAAGTTGAATGAGGAGAATATTCAATAAAATTTGTTGACAAAATCATGTTACATTGTGATTCCCTCTATGTATTGGGATGGTCATTTCAAGTGATCATTTTTATTCTTATAATTCACCTGTGCCACCAAAAAACCCAGTCATCTTCTCATAATTGCATCTGTGTGTGTCAGTTCCTTGCAGGTCAATGTTACATTGTTAGTGTTTTTAGTTGAATGCTTTGACCGGTGTTTTGTACTTCATAATATGAGGAGAGAGGCTTTTTTCTACCAACTGCTTTACACCAGATAATCTGGTACAAAATGATCTTGCTGGAAAATTCAATCTGGAGGGTGGGTTAAGTTGAATGTTCCGCCTTTTTTGATTTTTGGAAGCTGGTTTAAAAGCATCTGGTGTGATAAATGGGTGTTAAATCCTTGTGCCCGGGCAGGGTTTGCGTTTTTACACCAGAATTTTAGCACTGGACTAAGCAATGTGAAAACACCTTTGGCACCAAATAAAACTGGTGTAATTATCATTGGTGGAAAAATGAAATTTTGCCACACCATGATATAGTTTTGGGTTGTTTTTTGATGTATTTCAAGTTTTATTATTAGTACATTGACTAATATCTGCATGCGTAGCTCCAACATGTAGGAACAAGCTGCATATCTATTTTAATTTTTTGCTCTCTTTCTGGTGTCTTGATATTTTCCTACATCTATAGTTTTCTTTTCCACACAGAAAAGATGGCATTTTTTGTAGTGTCTTGAGTTTTCTTAGAGGCTCTCATTCAAATTTACCGGGTGTGTTGCTAACCACCCTTTGTGTGTTCTCCTATGCTCTTGTTTTGTTTGCGTTGGATGTTGGTTGCTTTCTCCTCATCCCCTCTCCAGGTTGTCCCAGTGTTGGCTGATTTTCTTGCTAGAGCCCTTACGTATTTTGCCAACATATACCATTGGTGGGATGTCAAATAATCCCCTACCCCATACGCCCTACTAACCATGTGCAGCACACATGTTTGTTTTACTTTCCTGTGAGATAAGAATAGGTTAGAGCTGTCCTAGAAGAGCCCACATTTATCAACAGATCAAAAATACCTCACTTAGAGGTAGAGAGCCAGCTAGAGTGGCTGACATGTTGCTGGTGAATAGCTTGACACCTATCTTTCTTCATTTGTAATCTGTTGTACATTTTGGAACATGTGATAATCAATTAGCCACAGGGTCTTATTGTGGAACAATATCAATTATATGGAAGGGGTAAAGTAAAAAACACACACCCAAGATATCTCAATCACAATTATCATAGCTAAACATTTCATGAAAACCCAAATAAAATCTAAAAAGGAGCAGAAGGATCACAAAATAAAACCAATAACCTACCTCAACTGCTAAGCATCCCATTGGTTCATCAAGTGCTAGACTTGAATCTTATCACACTAATATCATCACACCTAGTGTGGAATTAGAGCCAGGTTCTTTCCCAAGACTACAAGACACAACATACATCCTATTCTCTTTGTTCCATTTCCTGCTGAGCAAGCTCATGATGCCCAAATGTGATGTTTTTTTGAAAAATAATCACTACAACAGCAGACAAACCTCCACAAAACGCAGTAGGACATTATTGAAATTTTTCTATATTGCTTATAAAGTGATCAAACCTAGCTAAACCTTTTACCCAAGCCCAAAATTCTCATGCTTCCCTGCTCCAAACTCTTCAGGACTGTGGTCTGTGATTAGTTATCTACTCTGATTTTTGGGCAATGATTTTTGTGAGTTGGCTTTGAGGAGAATTCTGATTACCGGAGTCTTCAAAGGATAGAGTTGAATAACCACCAAAAATATAACTCCAAATATATTTCCAGAACTTTGTACTTGGCAGTGAATAGGCTCAAGCAACTTCAGACGGTCTAGAAACATTTGGCCCTGAGAAACCGGGGCTCAAATTCCCCATCCGTTTGCTCAGCATAATACTGCTAATCACTTAGCATTTGGTAATGCTAATTGAGGCTTGTTTGGTCATGCTAACAAGGCTCATTTGGTAAAAAAAGGATGCATTTCATTGCAAGAGAGACAAGAGCAGAAAGTACAACAATGTCAACATATAAACATGATACATTTGCTTAATTTACGCTATCACATTTCCCAAGCCACTTGCTGAGCCATTCCCATTGATTTGAATCTCTTTGATTCCATTTTATAAAAAAAATAATGAGAGTCGTAAATGAGTTGAGAAAACAAAATACAAAAAAATATGACCGCGATGAAACAAAACCATTCCAAAACAAAAGATTTCAAACTTGTTTAATTTTCAAATTCAATTTGAATTGGCTTTTCCAAACTTGATTGATTCATACAATCTTGATCATCATCATCAAGAGGAGGATGATAAACTGATGAATGATGAAAAAACACATAATGTTGTAAAAAAACACCAAATCAAATCTGATCAATAACAAACTGATTCCTCTAGAAATCCAAAGTCTAAAATCCAAAATATAAAAAGAACCCCCCAAGAAAGGTAAATGATTAGGATTGAATCTCAATAATTCCAAACAAAAAGTGGTCCACTCTGTTTTTGAACACACTTACAGTTTTCCTGGATTAGATTTTAAACCTGACCAATTGCTTTAAACAATTGCATCAATCCACATCTGAGCTCTAAACCAAACCCACCCAAGCATCAAACCCAAAGTCAAAAAATCCAAAATCCAGGATCAAAAGTGGATTGTTTGAAGAAAGGACTAACAAAATTAGAGTACCACCTAGGAGATCTAAAAGGATATTCATAATACTTCAACCTGATGTACTTCTTCTTTTGTAGTTTAAACATACTTGTGGTATATACTTTAAAAATGAAATCCAAATCTTCATTGTGGAGAAGATTAAAATCAAATCTAAGAATTCAAATTGGGTTTGAGGATGGTGATTTGAGGTTGAAGAAGTGAAAGATAAAGTTTGATTTTGATGATGATGAAGAGTTGAGATTTAAGGGTTGATGAAGAAAGGTGTAGATTGAGGAATCAAAATTGGATCGTTGGTTTTAAAAGATTCATTCTTGAGAGTGATTAAACTTAGGAGGGTGATTAAGAAGATTAAGAAGATTAAGATAGATCAAGTGAAGATTGATAATTTCTGATTTGATCCACGCTACATTTACCCAACACAGGAATTTCCCAACCAAAAAGATGAGTGAGTGAGTTGAGTAAGTAGATCTCCAATGAATGAGGAGAAAAGAGATGGAGTGAGGAACTTAACTGTGTAACGTTCAGATTGAAAATAAGTTAAAAGACTTAAGAGAAGAGCATGTGAACTGAAGATTAAATCATTGAATCTGATGTTTGGGACTTGATTCAAATGACAATCTTCATACTCTTTTTGAATCAAATCAGAATATAAAAGCAATACATTTGAGATGGAATAAAATAAGAATCCTAGTGAAAAGTTCAAATCCAAAAAAGAAAGAGGAATGAGTGTTTTGATGTGTTTGAATCATTGAGGTGTGTGCAAAGAGACTTTGAACTTCAAAAATCCGGTTCAGAGACTTTGGAAAATGCAAAAATCAGTTTGATTGTTGAATTTTTCAAAGTCTCCAATTTTCAAACATCTGAGGACCGCCTGCAAGGCGGTCCTCAGCCAGCCTGATCACTTGGCTCATAAGCTGCCTCAAGACGGCCCGCTTAGACCGTTTTCAGGCAACTTATGGGCCGAGCTCATGTCGTGTTGACAAGGCCGTCAAGGGACAGTCGACACAGGCCATATTGGGCCAATTTATGGGCCAGACCATTCTGAGACTGTCAACCCTGAGCACATGTACATGCACTCAAAGGATGACTAAAAGATACAATAAGCCTCTAAAATAAATATTACATATATATACACACTAAAAACAATATGTAATATATATGTAACAACCCATAAACATAATAACATCTCATAACTCAGTGTCAAGAGTTAAAACATACACAATTACATACATGTACATATTAAACACAATATGTAACACATATGTAAAACATCCATAAAATACAATAAATCTCATAACTCAGTATCAAGAGTTCAATATGCTTATATTAA